GGGAGAGTATGCAGAATTCCTTCACTTGCCGAAGAAAAAATTCACAGATTTCTGTATGTCTTACGTGACTTGTTAATTTTTATGAATATGTTTTTGATTTTCCCTCTGAATCTTTATTAGTAGTTCAAAGTGACTAGGAGGAATAACGTATAAAGTGACCTGACTCTTATGTGTAGCTATGAGCTTGCATCAATATGTTTTCTGTAACCATTTATTTATTTTCTTTGCACTGATTTTGAGTTTGTTCTTTGTTTGCTTAAATACCTTTTGAAGCTATGGTTCGAAAGGAAATTCAAGTCGAAACTGATAGAATGACAGGGAAGGCAAAACAAATCTCCCCTGTTCCTATTAATCTCAGTATCTACTCCCCAAATGGTATGCCAACAATTAAATTTTACTTTTCATGTAACTGCTGTGGATTTCTTGGTCTCATTTTTTATTAACATCTACCGTAGGTATTAAGTATAAAATTGTAAAAAAATGAAACTAATCAGTTCTTTTCTACCTTTTGTGGCTCTGAAGAGTAAATAACTGCGTAACATCTTCTCAACAAAAGCCAGGGCGTCTGTTATCAAGACAATCTGCTAGCTGTGCCAAATGGCCATTTTCATTCCGCAGTAGCTAAAGAATGTGAACGCTTTATTTCCGTTTGTTTCCCTGTTTTTTGGTCGTCTAATTCCTTGTTTTTTTCCTCCTGTTTTGCCTTTCATTGTAATTATCTTCTCTCCTGTCTTCATGTTAAGTGTTTCCAATATTTTTCACCTTCCCAGTACTCCACTATTTGAATAACATTAACTCAGAGAGCTTGAATTCTTTGGGCTTTCTACATATCCTTTAACATCTGCACGTGTTCATGATCCTTATTCAAGTTTGTCTGATGATAATCTTACCTGTCTTCTTGGTAGTTGTCAATCTAACACTGATAGATCTGCCCGGTTTAACGAAGGTTGCTGTAGGTATGCTTCTAACCACTTCCTTTTCTCAACTAAGCATGAATTTCTGCACGTTACCAGTTTGTAAATGAGATTTTTTTTTTTTTTAAAATCTAGAGGGACAGCCAGAAAGTATTGTTCAAGACATCGATAAGTTGGTTCGCTCATACGTTGAGAAGGTGGTTGAAGGATTCTTCTCTACACATATACACTGCTGCTGCTGCTGCCACCACCACTTATTGAAGAGGGAATTTTGCTCTTGTTGCATTTTCACAAAAAACTGGACTTTTTTTGTCATAAAAACTTGATAGTTTTAATATGACTGAACAGAGAAAAGTAATGCCTACTTGATGGCTTTACTTCTAACTTCATTTCCTTTTCTTAAGAAACTTCATTTATTTTTTTTTAATTAAATATTAATTCCTTTGGACAATTTACATATTGCTGTTTTTCTTTCAGTTCTTAGAATTTAAACAGGATGATGAATGAATATTGTCATGGACACTTGGGGGTCAAGATTCTAGTCATTACAATTTACTTAAGCAGATGTGGATGCTCTTTCAATCATTTGCTGCAATTTGATGGCCCTAAAAGTGTGTACTTAGTGTTTTCTCTTGGTATCGCAGCCCAATTGTATAATTCTGGCGATAACACCAGCCAATCAGGACGTTGCAACATCAGATGCCATTAAGATGGCTAGAGAAGTTGATCCTACAGGTATGCTTGTTTCATCTTGTTGGTTGTTAGCACTCCATCTTGAGTATTTATTTTCCAATTTTTCTCATTATGTCCTTGTTCGTTTTCTCTACAATAAATCTGTAATGTTTTACTTTTAGGTGACAGAACATTTGGTGTGTTGACAAAGTTAGATTTGATGGACAAAGGAACAAATGCTTTGGAGGTAAGAATTGAAGCTCTGAAGTATATATCACGAATATAATACTTAATCTTCTTAAATCTACACGGACACGGTAATAATTACTATGGTTGTAATTTTTCCATTTGGTTCGTAATGAAGGTTCTCGAGGGAAGATCATATCGGCTTCAACACCCATGGGTGGGAATCGTGAATCGTTCACAGGCAGATATTAATAAGAATGTTGATATGATTGCTGCTCGGCAACGGGAGCGTGAATTTTTCGCCAGCAGTCCTGATTATGGGCACTTGGCCAGCAAAATGGGATCAGAATATCTAGCAAGGCTTCTCTCAATGGTTTTTATTGATCATTCCTTACCTTCTTTTCCTGGCGATGGGATGGACATTTTATCTGCTTCCTTTTTCTTATAGTTCTTTATAAGGCTAATTGGTTACTTGTAGAATTGATTTGGTTTTCAGCATTTAGAGTCTCTGATAAGAGCTCGGATTCCTGGAATCTCTTCTTTAATTAATAGAAGCATTGACGAGCTGGAAGCAGATTTACGCCACCTGGGCAGACCAATTGCTGTTGATGCTGGGGTCAGGATTATCTTTATTTTTATATCTATACATTCTATACTACTTGTATCGGTGTATGTAGTTGCCAGCAAGGCGGATTAATTTTTGTCAAATTTATTTTGATCTTTTCAGGCCCAGTTGTATACTATTCTAGAATTATGTCGTGCATTCGACCGGATATTTAAGGAGCATTTAACTGGAGGGTAACTAACTTCCTTCGTCTACTGTTACTGTTTAATTTTCTACTTATTTCGAATTCAAACGACCACTATTTCAGGTGGATGTCTGAGTTCATTCTTTACGGAGAGACACTTGTAACAGTTTTTTTCCCCCCCCAGTGATTCCGAGAATTTTCATCATTATTGCGTTATAATTTCTTTCGGGAACAAATTTTCTCGACTTCATTGCATTCCTTTGTCTTAGGCGACCTGGCGGTGACCGAATTTATGGAGTTTTTGATCACCAGCTTCCTGCTGCGTTGAGAAAGCTTCCCTTTGACGGTCATCTGTCGTGGCAAAATGTGAGAAGAGTTATTTTAGAGGCAGATGGCTACCAACCTCATCTAATCGCCCCGGAACATGGTTATCGACGCCTCATCGATAGCGCACTTAATTATTTCAAAGGTCCAGCTGAAGCTTCGGTGGATGCTGTAAGTGCTTATGAGCTACATACGTTTTCTGTTGTTAGATCTCTGTCCAGTTCGTGTCTCCGTGAAAATGATCTTGTCTTGTGTCGTCTTAGAAACCGACAATAGCTTTGACTACGGACTTTACAACTTTCAGCTTTCCAATTGATGAAAAGTGATCTATATATTGAATTTTATAGATTTATATGTCATCGAAATTTATTTTACCAACTTCTGTCTTCTACACCACTGGTTTTGTGGCAGATTCATTTCATACTTAAGGAACTCGCCAGAAGGTCAATTGCAGAAACGCAGGTTTGAAAAAGGGAAGGGGTGGGAAGCGAAATAAGGAAGTGGAATGAGGGAGTGGCAGTTTTCCCAAGCAGTGTCTAATGTTAATCGTTGAAATGATGCAGGAGTTGAAGCGCTTTCCAACTCTGCAAGCAGAAATAGCAGCAGCTGCTAATGAAGCGTTGGAGAGGTTTCGTGAAGAGGGGAAGAAGACAACCTTGCGACTGGTGGAGATGGAATCTTCATACCTTACGGTTGATTTCTTCCGGAAACTCCCGCAAGAAGTCGACAAGGGAGGAAACCCTGCTCCCTCCGCCGACCGATATGCTGAGGAACACTTCCGCAGGATTGGTTCAAATGTTTCATCTTATGTTGGGATGGTGTCAGAAACGCTGAGGAATACTATTCCGAAGGCTGTGGTTCATTTTCAAGTGAGGGAGGCTCAACGATCTTTACTCGACCACTTCTATGCTAAGCTGGGTAAAAAGGAGGTATCTAACTCGTTATGCTTAGCCTGCCACCGAATCAAATTATTTTAAACTATCATTTGAAAAGAAAATATTATTCTTGACCAAAAAAAAAATTAATCCTCTTATGAATTGGGATTAGGGTGTGTTAAAAGGACTTAATTTTCCTAAGTGATCGACAAAGAAAATATGGTTCAAAATGGTGAAAATATTATATTTCAGGGAAGGCAACTTGCGGAGCTGTTGGATGAAGATCCTGCGCTGATGGAAAGGAGGCAACAATGCGCCAAGAGGCTCGAGTTATGTAGGTCTGCTAGAGATGAGATTGATGCAGTTTCATGGTCGAGATGAGATGGAGGTTTTTATAAAACAACCATTAATTCAGTCATTGTCTGCATATATTTTAATTTTTTGTTTATTTATTCATGTTTTGAAGTTGGTAGATAACGTGAAATATGCGTGCGTTCAAAAGCTTTTTTTTTTTTTTTTGCTTATTTATTCATGTCTTGAAGTTTCGTGGTTATTTGTTCAAGTGAGCAGCTTAACTAGAGCTAAATGAAAATTGAGATTTGGACATTTTGTATTTTAAAAAACTAAATGCTTCTCCAAAAAAGCTCTGGTTCTTTTCTTCCCTTGGCTTTTTTTTTTTTTTTCCTCAATGCATTTGTTGTGTAAGTCTGTATTGTGAATTCATGATTTCGTTCCCGCATACATCCCTACGTTGGTGCAACTCATCTCATTCAAGTATGCTTTTCTCCTCGAAAACCTCTCACACACTCGCATTAAAATTATGAAAAAAAAACAAATTGAAAAATTATGACAAAAAAAAAACATAAAACGGAAAAAATAATCACAAATCATTATAAAATCGAGAAGGAAGCAAAATATAAGTTATTTAATTTTTTATAAGTGCATAAAAAATAAAGTGAAAATATAATCTAATAAGCTAAAATGGTTCGATTTGATCTATTTAATTTTGAAATTTTAAATTTGTAAATTGAATGAAATTGATCAATCAAAATTTTAAGAAAAAGAAAATCAGATCAAATCATTTAACTGAATGGACCAAATCAAATAAATCAGTTAATTTTATTCGATTTGTTTTTGTTCACTCCTTTTTACTTGCCCGAACAGTGTGCAAAAACGTTCTTTAAAACGATTTATATTGTTGCAGTTGAAGACAACAGGAGTCCTGTCACACGATTGTTTTCGGATCACAATGGTAAATAATCACTACAAAAAGAATGTAATTATCTTTTGGGATTGATCCCAGCCAATCCATATTAATCAGGCATCATAGCATGAAATTGTGTCAATTCACAATCAATCATAACGAGCAAGGTTGACTAGAATAGTTATCGCTGAGATGTGAATGGCTCCTCCGCCCATAAATAAAGAAAAAAATCCTGTTGACCATTCGAGTAATCTAGGAATTTTGCTACTTATTTTTGCCTAGAAACTTCTGCCGTCTATTCATCAAAGCTACATAGTTCATTGCCTATGAGCACTAGCTTTGTCAAGTTCTTCCAAAGCTGCCCATAGTTTTGGATCGTCATAATCCTTTATCACGAAAGCAGGCTTTGCTTCCCACAGTAAATGCTCTGGGTTTCTGGTAGCCAAACCTACAACAGGCATCCCAGCTGCCACTCCAGCTTTGATTCCTGAAACGGAATCCTGTGACCAAAAAAAAAAAAAAACAACAACAACACGCGTGTCAGAGCCTGATAAGGAAAGCATTAATCTATGAATGGAAAATCACAAGAATGCAGACCTCGAATACAACAGTGTGATCCTTGGATGCCTTCAATGCTTCAAGACCCTTCAAGTAGGGATCCGGATGAGGTTTAGCATGCTCACATTCGCTTCCAACAATGACGGCTTGAAAAAAGTCTGTGAGGCCAAGGATAGATATCATGAGTTCTGCATTTGCTCTTGGAGCGTTGGTAACTGCCGCCCGCTTCAAGCCACGTTCTTCTATCCATTTCCTCACTTTGTAGAGCCCATTCAAAGGCTTCAGTTGCTCAGCTGCCAATCTGGCTTGTCCATAAAATAAATTATTATCTGAAGCATTCAAGATAAACCCACAATAAGAAAGAAAGCAGATATTACTTCCGGAACATGGCTTCCTTATCGTCGACAAACTTTAACCCCCGTTCCAAATCACCAGGAAAGAGAGCCATTGCAATATCATCGTTGTGTTTTCCAGCAACAGTTTCAATAAAGAATTCCTCTGTTATTGGATTCCCTCCGTTGAAACCAATCTGATCACCACCAAGCTTCTATTAGTTTTGTAATAGCTATGGCCATTTATGAATATGATTAGAGCAATAGTACAATCAAAACCAATACAAAATCTAAATATCTGCCTTCTAAATTCTCGTCTAAGAAAATCTACCTCTTGAAGCATTTCTCGGAAAGCATAATAGTGGAGTGGATCAGAATCACAAATAGTTCCATCAATATCAAACAACACTGCTTCAAGGGGAGCGAGTCTGGCCAGCGAACTGTTGCTGCAGCCACAACATAAAGGCAATGAGTGGCAAATATAGAGAAGCTAGCAAACTAGTAGATAGGAGGGTTTGGTTCATTGCAGCAGTAGCAAGTTAATTGATATAGGGTATAGTGACTGATTATTGTATATTTCTCACATGGAAGGGCAGTGACTTATAAAACACTTGAAACACGATACAAAAGCTAACTACGGAATTGATAGACATTTGCGCCTCTAATGCATCACAAAATCTTTACAGGGATACAATTGCGTTGCATAGAAAGCCACTCTGTCTGATACCATTGCAAACTGGCAACCCGACAGAAGCTTATAAGCTGCCTGATCTCAGTTTAACATTAAAGCAACTTATCAACGCAATAAACATTCCTTCATCAAGTTCATAGAAAAAGTTCAGGAAATCCAGATTATATGCTGTAATAATGATACAACAAAACTACGTTGATAAGTCACCGAGCTATAAAATAAATACTAATATCAGAATTAAAAGGCAATCATATAACACAAGCCCCAAAATTGATCTAAGATGATCTATCATGTGTTCCCATCACACAGGTTCTCTCCAGCATCAAAATCATTAATGTATCAACAAAACAGGACTTTGTATTGATTTCCAAGATGAGGAAAGCTATATGATTAGTGTTATATCGACGCAAAATTAATATGATATTGAAGAAAAAATATAATATCGGGACCGAGGCGGAAATCCAATGATAAAAACGACGAACAAAGACAGTGCCGCTGAAACGGCAGTGCCCTGATCGGTCCATTAAAATAAAATTTTGATTTGCATGTATATTGGAAGTCCTCAAGAGACATGGCAATGAAGAAGGATCCAATCAGGCTGTCCGGACTACAGATTGATCCATATACAGTTTATATTGGATATCAATAAATTTCACGGAGATGAAATGAAAAGCGTGACTGACAGTTCCTTAACAATTAAAGAACGACTGAATCAATAAATTAACACCAAAAAAGAAATTTCAAAGAGAAATTCAGAAAGAAGCTTCATGTGCTTCTATCAGCAAGAGGGGAAAAAAGTTGCAATAAAATCAAGTATTGAATGACGAAGGCTCGCAAGAAATGTAAAATGAAAGCCAATATCCAAGAGCATATATAAGCAAGAAGGAAATGCAAAATCCACGCTATCAGTTTGACAAACTCCTTTTAATGCAGAGGTAGACAAGAATTAAAGTTTTATAATCTAAACGCTGCTGCAAATGATCGTATTGAGGGAAAATCGTCACCTCTCAGAGCAATTCTCCAAAGACGCGGTCATGGTTCATCAAAATGTTCCCTGCCAAACTTGTTTGCGCAATTCTCAGAGAAGCTGGGCATATAACGTCATGAATGAACAAAGCGAATCTGCCAGGGAATCAAAAACCAAGTTTGGCGGAGATGCCACGGCCTTATTTATTTTAGCGGGGAAATTAATAAGTTGGTGCTCTAATTTTAATTTATTAAAACTCAGTCCCTAAATTGTTAAATTTTAAGTCGATAAATTCAATTTCTATGATTGCAATCCAAGTTTTAGCTATTTAAAATATTAATTTTTAATTTCTTTAAAAAATACTTTAGCCTTTATATTATTTATTTTAAAAATATAGAAATAAAAAATTTAAATAGATAAAATCATAAAAATTGAATTGCATTGAACTTTTTTGCCCAAAAATTGCATTGAATTAAAATTTAGAAATTGAACTTTACTTGGATCAAAATTATATGTATGGAGTTGCATGGAACCAAAATTCAAGTTAAATCTTCTAAAGTTAGGAAAGGTGAATTTTGGTGAAGACTTCTTATATATATACATTTATATATTTCTCTCATTTTGTTATTTTTATAAAATATAAAATTTTTTCTCTCAAAGAAAAAAAAACCTTTATAGAAATTCACCAATCCCAATTTTAAAAGATTTAAACCTCTTTTTTCCTACAAATGAAAAAATTCAAGACTTTTTTTCCAATCTTAAAGTAGATGGCTCAATTGGGGAAGATGATAGCAGTAGGTGTGGTGGCATCTTACGTGACTAACACCTCCAATGGGTTTGTGGTTTTAGTGGTAAAACCAATTTCATACCCTTTACTATTGTTGAATTTATTAATCTGATAAATGGATTGAACACATGCTAGTTGAGGGATTTCATAGACTGAACAATTATATGAATTGCATGGAAGTCATCTACTTGATTTTGAAAGGAAGTAGTAGTGAACATTCCTTTGCGAACATTGTGGAAGAAGCAAGATCTCTCTACCATAAAGATTGGCTTCTTGATAACTCACAAATATAGGAAGGAGAATGCACAAACACATCTTCTCAATAATTATTCTCATAATTTAGTCTCTAACTCTGTAATATTTGATCAACTCCATCCTTTTTAGCAGAAAGAGAAGGAGGACGAACGATCTTTTGTCTTATTATTTGTTATTATTTTAGTTAGCAATGTTATTCAGTTCTATTAAAAAAAATTAATTTTTTTTATTAATCTCTTCCATTCTTTCTATAAAGGTTCATTATCACTAGCGCATCAACAAATAGCCCAATACAGCGACTTACTTTCATACTTTCCTAGTTCAAAATAATTGTATTCAAATCAGTTTATTCAACTAATTTTTCGTAATACAAGATTACTAAAAATTGTGCAAAGAAATAAAAACAAATTTAAAATATGTTTAGTTGAAGGGAATTAGAGGGAAAGCGCAGGCTCCCTCCCCTCATTTAGCTTGAAAAATTTGAAAGGAAGAGAAGTCCCCCGCAATTGGAGTATTTTAAAGGTGGCTAAAATTTTTAACTAATTTATTCTCATCCTTCTTTTTTATTTCATATATGCCCATAGCGAAAAAGGAAAATTATTTTCTTTATGTCAGATTGTACTTCACTTCTAGACTTCTCCTGACCTTGCTAGATCTCGTCCTGCTGTGGTTGGCCCAGAAACTTCATACGAGATCATGCTCGCTGCTTGTCGAAGCACCAGTGGGAAGTTCTTGGATTTCATCCACCTGAGAAAGTGGAATGGAGGACAACAAATTGGAAAGTTGATTTGTTTCGGTAAAGATTGGGGGAAAATGATTTTAGATAAAAAAGGTGATTGGAAAGTTCAATTGGTTTCAGAACATTTGTGAATTTAAAAAATTTAAAGAGTTTTTTTTTTTTAATTTCGGCAGAGTTAGATTATATTATTTAATTGTCCAACATATAATCCCATTTCAAATAACTTAATTTTTTTAATAAATATTTTTGCGTACTCATTGGTCATGCCCGCACATTTAGAATCTTTTTGTCTAGTTCTCCACTGTCTATCTTCAAAGAAACCCGCCATGAAAGTGAATGGCTGTGCTCTTTTCCAGTCCGAACTTTCCACGAAACTTGAGGCCAGAAAAGTCTCCCACTAACCCAAATTTCTAGCCACCCTCTTTGACACGTCAATTCCAATTTTATCATTTTTTCTGTTTAGCCACCAATCTTTCATCATATTATTAGATGACACTATTATTTTTGTGATGGAAGGCAGTTTGACCCATTGTTTTGTTTAAATGAAGGTAAAGGAAGGAGTTATTTTAATAAAGGGAAGAGGAGGGAAATGATTTTAATATTATTTTATTTAGTTTAGGAAGGGAGAGAAAAAATAATAATACCAGAACCATAATAAGAGTCTTATTGTCGTATTTGGTTTTTATTTTCACTTATATAATTAAACAAATATAATATATTATTCATAAAAATTGTTTAAATGATATCGCGTACCAATAAAAAGAGTAAAAAACTTAAATGTAGAATTTCTTACTAAAAATGTAACATTTGTCATATTATTGTGTAGTTTAGAAGCACGCAACAATATAAAAAAAAACTTATTTTTAAGCTTATAACTTTCAAGAATCAAAGGCCAAACTAGGTGAAACACTAGACAAAGCTAGATGAGAAAGAGAGAAGGAATGACAAGGGATGATAAAGGAAAGAAAGGAAGATGAAGGGTAAATTGTAACATTTCAAAATTTTAATCCAAAATTTATAAGTTAATTAAGGGTGAATTAATAAAATTAGTAAACTTATTAAGTTAACTATGTTTTTATATAATTAATGGACCTATTAGATCATTATGACAACTTTTGGATGGGCTATGATAGTACTTGGGTCAATTGCAGCCCCAGTAGAGGCCCGAAATATAGAGTTGGGTTGTTGAATTATTTGGCACAGTGGAAGCATGGTGCATCAAGGTGAACAGAGCCAAATTTCATTAAATCAAATGTGATCAGCATTCGAAAACAAAAGGAGGGAAAGGAAAAAAAAATTCAAAGAGTAACAAAGAAGAAGATCTGCTAAGGCAACCCCTCACTACTTGGGAGATTGTTTGGATTTCTTGTAATATGCTCCTTATTATACCTGATAATTTAATCATAGAATCCTTAAATCAACTACTATGATAGAAAATAAAGAAATATAATTAAAAAAATCTATCACAATAGAAAAATGCCTTTATCAAAATTTGAAAAACTAACCGTGGTACAAAAGAGTTTAACTAAACATTTGAAAACCCTACTATGATTATAAAAGCAATTTAATTAACTCAAAACATTAACCATGATAGAAAATATTTATTCATACACTCAAAGCAACTATCATGGTTAAAACTAATTAATCTTGATTTCAACAATTATCTATAATAGAAAAGAGTTTGACTTAGCTTTAAAAAACCTATCATGAATAAAAGATTTCCTTTTAATCAATCACAAGGAAAACTATGAAAAAAAATGTCTAAACCTATTAACATAGTTAAAGAAAATAAACCTTTAAAATTTTAGCTATTAAAGCTATCTCAAGTGTTCACAACAAATGGCCTTAAAGCAAATGAAGTCTAAATCATATGACAACAATAAAGCTCAATTTCTATTCTTAAATCACTTTTCATGGATATATCTTTCACGTTCTAAAACATCTTTGCACTCAAATATCTTAACACATGTGGATTCATTTAAATAACCACATGTAGTGCCAACCACGAGTAAGCAATCCCAACAACAAGATATTAATAGTATCAAGTATATAAAAATTATTAGAGTATATGTGCATAAGCCCTAAATGTGGCAACATATAGTAATTCAACACAAAACAAAAAAAGAGGCAATACAAGTCCATGCAAGACTAAGCCTTCAGAATTTTCAATGATGGATTACCAAATGAACGTTCACCTATAAATTGTTAAGCAACGGAAGGTAAGACAATGTCTTAGTAACCAACAGTCTTACCTACCATACACACTAATACGTGCTCGTAAGGTACCAAGAGGGATAGTTATAAAACATTAACCATTCAATCAATCATCATATGACAATATATACTAATCATACATATCACGATGCAAGAACATTAATCACCCTTATATTCTCTTTATTTCCTTCGGCTGAACTTATAGGCTAAGTCAATGTCCATGTCACTGTTTACTTAAACAAGCTCCTTAATTAAGTTGTGTGGGCAACTGAAGCTCACAAGACACATAAACAAACCATGGGTTCCCCCTCAATGAATAAGTAAAGTGTTATAGCCCTAAAATAGTCTCCTCATATAACAAGCAGAGATGAGTTAAGGCGGTGTCCCTTATTGAACAAGTAGGACATGAGTAGACTAGCCATTAAACTTCATATGGTGGCCTTACCATATTGTAAAAGAATACCTTATCGATACAACTCTGAAGAGCTATCAGCACCAACCAAGGTCAACTCAATAGCATGCAACTCACCATATTAATCACGTGCATAAATCTTAAATATCTCATATCACATGAGCATTCATTTCAAAATTATAGTACTCATGTACAATTTGAAATCTAGTTCATTTTCAAGCCAATCATTGTATTATTATTCCACAATAGTTTTTCAACACAAATATAAGTCCTACATGGCAATTTCATATATCAAAGTAGAATTTTTCAAACATAGCTCATGTTCCAGTTTCATCAAACATACCATAAACTTTTTAATAACTCTTACCAAATTATACATTTCAAAAATAACTCATAAACACGTACTAGCATGCACAATAAGCAAGAAAATGGTTATACCTCTTGCCAAAGCTAATAAAAGTACCACAATTCTTGAGAAGTCCTGTGCTTAGGATTGTAATCAAAAAAGTCTACATAAGTTGCATAGAAAAGGGGTAGACACAATGCCTGTACACAAGTCACGGTGCATTGCCCTTTTTTCTTGACTTGTTATTTTTCAATTGTTTTTGAGCTTTTCACTCTCGTGAGGTATCCTATGTAACATCTTCAAAATTTAATCCTAATTAACTAAGCTTGCTTAAAGTAATTAAGTTATTGATGTGATGTGTGGATAAAGGAGTCTAATTAGCACGATGAATTATGATTTCAATCTTAAATATGGGTTCGAAGCAAATTCAAGTTACCTGAATG